GAAAAGGAGGAATTACATTTATTAAGCACCAACTATATGCCAGGTAATATACACATGGTCCTTGTATGCAGTAGGTGTAAGTACTATCCCCATTTTACAGATGATATAACTAAGACTCAGGACAGGGCAGCTTGCCTGGGGTGAGGAAGTTGGGATTTGGACTCAGGTCTGCTAGGATCCCCAGCTCCCTTTCTTTTCAGTCCATTGCATGCCAGACCAAAAGGTGTAAAGGCAGAAAAGGAAGACCGAATTGACCCCGCGGTGCACTCGGAAAGGGGAAAAGGTTGGAGTTAAGGAGGAATGGAAGAGGGCACACCAGTTAATTCCATTTTTACTCATTCTCTATATTCCTACATCTTCAGTCATAGGCAGCTAGCTTCTTAGCTTGAGACCTGTGTTCTCTTCAGGCAGGTCTGGTCTGTCTGCCAAGTGGAGGGTCTGGGCAAGAGGAAAGACGTTGGCTTGAGGAGTTGAAGCGCCTCCGGGAAACCTCATCCCGGGGAAGAGGAGGCGCACAGTGTTTGCCCGAGTTCCAGCGCCTCAGCGTCCAAGGGAAGTGAACCTGCTGAGTGGTCCCAGGCATCCTACCCCGTCCTCTGTCCTTCCCTCACTCCTTCCACAGGCACTAGCCCTGCATACAGGGCTGAAGGTTCCCCTGGCTGCTTCTCTCTCTCCCACCTGGAAGCCTACCTTGGCGTCTGCTTCTTGCAGGACCTGGACTGGCACAGAGGCTTTGCCCAGCACCTTCCCTCCTGTTACAGGCCACCAGGCATATTGAGAGAGGGGGGCCTTGAGTGCCTGGTGGCTGCTGGCTTGTTTTAAAACATATTGGACTCCACCTTCAACCCAGGGACCACAGGACACACCTGGAGGCCCTTTGCAGAAGGATGAGATACCCAATAAGCAGGTGTGGCAGGATCTCCTAAAACTCAGGCTATGGCTGTGTTATGTGACACCACTGGTGGCCACGGGCTGGCGAGCTGATGAGCCCTGGAAAAACTGAGGTTATAAACACACAATGCAAATATCACAGTGAATCAATCATAATTGCTACCATAAGTAAGACAAACCCCATGTTTTCGCTTCCATAGCCAGATTATAATCACGTTGTATTCATAAATTAGGTAAAATGATAGTAAACACATTTACTGCTTGCCATATGCCAGACACCATACTAAACTCTTCATGTGATAACCCTAAGGCAGACCATTATCCATGCTCCATTACCCTCTCCTTCTATGCTAATAAAACCTTGCTTTTGTTTGTGACAACAATGGGCCAGCCCCAGGTGATGGCTTATGTCACGCAATCATGACGCTCCTGTTCTCTGTAGTCCTGGCTTCTTTAGACTGAGGGGTGTCCACTTCTGTCCAGCAGACCTAAGCAGGAGTCGGCCAGGGTGGGGGTGGGCGCTGGGTTATGGAACATGCTTCTCCTGGAAGACTACAGGGCAAAATCCCTCACCCTCTAGGTCAGCGGTTCTCAACCTGTGGGTTGCGACCCCTTTGGGGGTCGAACGACCCTTTCACAGGAGTCGCCAAGGACCATCGGAAAACACATATATAATTACATGTTGTTTTTGTGATTAATCACTATGCTTTCATTATGTTCAGTTTGTAACAATGAAAATACATCCTGCATATCAGATATTTACATTACGATTCATAACAGTAGCAAAATTACAGTTATGAAGTAGCAATGAAAATAATTTTATGGTTGGGGGTCACCACAACATGAAGAGCAGTATTAAAGGGTCGAGGCATTAGGAAGGTTGAGAACCACTGCTCTAGGTCTTTGCTTGAGCATCACCTTCCCATAAGACCTATCCTGAACACCCTGTTTAAAACTGTATACCCTGGCACATAGTAGGCACTCAACATATCTTTTTTCTCTTTGAGTGAACACATAAAAACAAAGTAGGGAAAGTCACTGGAGGAAACGCAGAACAGCAAGCACAGATATCCTGGGACAAACACACGCCTGCCGTGTGTGGTGAATAGGAGGCCAGCGTGATGGGTGGTGTGACTGAGGGGAGGAGATGAGGGGAGGAGGTGAGAGATGGAGGGTGTCAGTGGAGAGCCTGATCACAGCAGGGCTTGCAGGTCATAGTAAAGCCTTTGGCCCCTGTGCCACACCAGCACCACCAAGGGTGTCTCTGAGTGGGGGGGGGTGAAAGGATTAAGAAAAGACAGACAAGAGAATAATAGCTGGGTCTCGGTGGGACGCTGCTCCCTGATGAGGAGACAACGACAGCGCTCACAAGCCATGTCTTTATTTTATAGCAGATGCCATGAGGCAAAGTAGGGGCGTGATCATGTTGTTTACAGCATTCTCGTGAGTTTCAACCCTACTCAACTACATGCACCCGAACTCTATCACAAGGCACATGGGGCCACGTGTTAGGACCATAGGTTCAAGCTCACAACCACAGCCGTTGGCTATGATTGTGCTGGGAGGGCCCTGCCCTCCAGCTGGGACTTGCACGTGGCAGTGAGAGGACCCTGTCCTTTCATTAGTCCGAGGCTTGAACCTGGCCAAAACACTGTAGCCGCGCCCCACAGGCCCCTGCTCTGGGTGCACTGGGGTGCCGAGGGGGAGGAGGACAGTCTCCGACTTGCATCTGGAATCACCATGGGGCTGCTGCTGAGAGACACTGGAGTGGGTAACGTAGACGCAGGGAGAAGAGGTGGGGGGTGAGTGCGCCAATCCAAGCCAGTGGTGGTGGTGCTAGGTCCATGGTGGTAGCAGAGAGAAGTGACTAGGTTCTGCATATATTTTAAAGGTATAGTCAGTAAGATTTGCTCACAGATTGGGTATAGATTGGGAGAGTGAGGGAGAAATGAGGCATGACTTCGAGGTTTTTGCCCGAGAAACTAGAAGCAAGGGGATTGTGAGGTCTTCAGGAAAACTGGAGTTTGGAGGTAAAATCAGGCACTCGGTTTTGAACATGTTTGAGTTTGAGATGCCTATTGTACATTCCAGTGGAGACAGTAAGTAGTCAGATGGATATACAGCTATTGATTTTACGGTAGAAGCCCAGGCCAGGGATATAGGTTGTATTTAAAGCTATGAGACTGGATGGGTTCACCCAAGACATGAGTGTGGGCTAAGAAGAAGAAAAGAGATGTTGAAGTGCAAGGATGAGTCCTGGGCATTCCCCTTGTGAGGATGCCAACACGTGCTAGGCACGGCCTTCTTCATGTGCAGGTGCTCATTTACCCAAATACAAATGTTGCAAGGTCAACGTTCTCAACCTGACTTGATAGAAGTGGACCCTGTTGCACAGTGAAAATACACCTGCCCAAAGGCACACAGATGGTCAAGTGCTGCTATCTATCTGACTTCTCTAGTGAATAAAACTTTGAGTTCATTTCCTCTAGCACCTTAACTTACAATCTTGGCATCACCCTTCCCGACCCAAATCAGCCTTTCATTTCTGTTTTCACCTGAAGCTTCAGTACAGACCATCCTAATCCTTTACCTTGAACTTTCCCTACTGTATCCAAATAGGATTTCCTGCCATGAGGCTCTCCCGATTCTAATCCACTCCTTATCTTCATGAATAGAAAGCAGATTGTGCCACCTTCCTGCTCAATCCTTCTATGCATCCCTCATTACCTGCCAAGCTGTAACCCAGCTTCTTGAGCTTGGTTAAAGGAGCCTTCGCAATCTGCCTCCCACCGACTTTCCCAGTCTCCTCTCCTGCTAGTCTCCCCGCAGCCCCACTTCCCATATCAGTCACTTTTCTGAAATCGAATCTCTTATTGAGATCCACCACATTCTTCCACAACTGAGTTTCACACGCTGTTCCCTTTTCGTGCCCACACTGCTTGACCCCCCGGGACAATATTGACTAGAAGACATGATGGTGGGCACTGTGTCTCGTTCCACATATCGAAGTCAAGCTTTCAACTGTTCACCATGAGGTAGATGTTTGTTGTAGGACTTTTAAAATTTTACTTATTTATTATTTATTTTTAAAATATATTTTTATTGATTTCAGAGAGGAAGGGAAAAGGAGAGAGAGATAGAAACATCAATGATGAGCCCTTGGCTTAGTGGATAGAGCAGACTGAAAGGTCCCAGGTTCAATTCTGGTCAAGGGCATATACGTTGGTTGTGGGCACATCCCCTGTAGGAGATGTGCAGGAGGCAGCTAATCGATGTTTCTCTCTCATCGATGCTTCTAACTCTTTATCCCTCTCCCTTCCTCTCTGTAAAAAATCAATAAAATATATTTTAAAAAAAGAAACATCAATGATGAGAGAGTCTCATTGATTGACTTCCTCCTGCACACCCCCTACTGGGGATCGAGCCTGCAACTCAGGCATGTGCCCTGACCAGGAATTGAACTGTGACTTCCTGGTTCATAGGTCGACGTTCAACCACTGAGCCATAGTTAGGCTTGTTGTAGGACTTTCTTTTTTACATTCCCTGCATCAGGTTAAGGGAAGCCCAGCTTCTTCCCTTCCTTTTGTAGTTGCTAAGAATCTATTGTTGTTTTATCAGGAATGGATATCAAATTTTATCAAATGTGTTCCTGCATCTCTTTGGTATCATACTTTCTCTCCTTTAATCAATCATCAATTTATTTTCTACTGTTAATTTAACTTTATATTTCCTGGATAAAGCCAGCATGATCTTCACACGTCATCCTTTCTTTATGCATATGTTTCTGGATTTGACTCACTAATATTTTGTTCAGCACATGGCCCTACAATCTGTGCAGGGGCCCAAAGGGAGCTCTTTTTGGGGAGGTGACCAAAAGAAACCTGATAATTAGGAGCAAAGTTTAATTTCCACTTCTCTCTGGGGTTGGGGCCATGAATGGCTATTGAGGACTGGGGGTGAGGGGATCTCTGAAGTTGTGTATTTCTATAGGAAAGTCAAAGTTCCCTTATCCATAAGTCTCATGCTTGGTACAAAGCTTCGGTACATATTAAAACTAGAAATGATCAAAGCAGATCTTACTAATTGTTATAATTGAAAAGTTTTACTAGCAATGAAACAAAAGCCTGCTATTCGTAAGTGACCCTATTGAATGTTTAGTCTAACAGTCCACCTTACATAAAAGCAATGAACAGGAAGGAAAGGCAGACTCTCTCCCGAAGGCCCCAGACAACCCCAGGAAGGCTCCTACAGCATGTCCACGAACGACAGCGTGTCCGTGACCTTAGTGAGGCCCAGGTTGAAGAGGACGGTCTTTTCCAGTTCCAAGTAGCTCTCGTAGTCCATCTTCAAATCAGCCTCCAGCTGATCTTTTCCCTTCTGATGCGGTTTCTAGGGAGGAGAAAAGCAAGTCATTCCTGTAAGACACTGACAGCTAGAAATACCAGAGGAGGAGAAGGGCCCGCTTTTGAATAGCCAGCCTGGCTGCTCCGGAGGGGTTTGTGGGAGGACCGGGGCTGGGGCGAGGGGAGGGCATCTCTTGCCCCTTCAGCCTCTTTCTGCAGATGTTGCCTCTTCCGGGTTAGAAGGTCCTTGGCACTTTTGAGCCCAGCTTCTTCCCAAGGGTCTCCTCGGCACCCTCACTCTGCCACCAATAGGAGTTCATTCCCCTTGGGTACTCTCTCCACCCTTCTCAGAGCTGTTTAAGTCAATCTCTTGCCCATAGACCATCCAGCCTCAGGAGTCTAGGCCCTCGTCTCTGGGTTCCCCAAACTCTCCCTGCCTCTGCTGCTCTGGTCGCCTGGTAATTCCTGGCCCTTGGGTTTCTCTGGCTCAGCAAGCCTCCTGCCAGGTGTCAGAGGCATCGTCCGTCCTGGCCAGCAGCCCATCTCTCACCGAGCCCAGTGTCGCAGAGGTGGGAAGGGGGGAATGTGTAGCTCTCTGCCACCTCTCTCCAAAGAACATGCCCTCTTTCAGGCTCCTTCCCTTACTTCGTCTGGAGTGTGGGTGACACGAGATGGCAGAATTCCCTTCTAAGCCCCATGCAGATGGCATAGCTTCTGGATCACATGGGAACTGCTACTTGCCCCAGCTTTGGGTCTCCAGCTGAAATTCCAGTTAGGAAATTTCCCATTTCATGTGCTGCTTGAGCTGTAACTGCTGTTACAGAATATTGCCACTTCAGACACTTTAGTAACACTCATGTTACAGTCAAGAAATGAACTGTATCCAGACTCGATGTTTACAAGCAGGTGGGTGCATGATTTCCTCTGGACCCATGGGCTGCAGTGCACAGCCGGATCTCTGGCACCTGGGGGCGCTCAGGAAGACCAGCCTCGCAGGACGGAAGTGTGACGGTCTTCTGCCCTCTGAAATAATACTAGCACTTTCTGTGTGCCAGTTACTGGCTAAGTGCTGTACACATTTTAACCCATTCAATCCTCACTGCAATCCTCTGAGGTTGTTACAGTTTGTGTCCATTTTCCCTTTTATCAGCTGTTGCTTATGAAAAGGTATTTCTGATGAACATTAGTTGTTTATCCTTGGCGACCTTTGCACCTTCTAAATGTAACAGAGGAGCCCTTTAAAATTCATTCACTTAGCCACAGTCCAGTCCAGAGAACATCTGAGAAGTGGTAGCTCTACTTAAAAAAGGGCACGATGTCAAATGGAAATAAAGTCACAAGAAGGAGTTGGAAACGTGTTGGAAACTCAAATGCATGATACTAAGATTATTATAACATTCAGGTGCTTTAAAAGTATTTCACAGGCAAATTATTTTTGTATTATCCACAATTCTACCGATGTGGATAATTAGGGGGGCTGCTGCTATGGTATTTAAACCCTCATAATAATTGGAGATCATATCTGGCATAGGGAAAGGGTGGCAGCTTATGTCCCACAACAAAATTTCAACCAATATTTGTGAATGCACACACACACACACACACACACACACGCATAAAAACAAGAGCATTATTTTTGGCTGGGGAAAATAATGAGAAGTTAGTTAATCGGTATTCTTTTATATCTTGTCACCACTAAACAATTTTTGAAATGGGGCCCTCTGCTTTTATTACACGAATTAATATCTATCAATAAGTGATCATGTTAATCCAGTGATTTTTCAACTGGTATGCTACAGTAATTTTTAAAACATGCAATACTTGACTATTTAGTCAGGGGCACTGACCTCTTTTCCCTTAGATTATCAAATTAAAAAAACGACAACAGCCCGGCTGGTGTCAATCATTGTATGTATAGATGGTATTTAGACACCATTTTATCTAAAAGACTTGGATGTTACAGACCATTTCAGAAACTTCCATTAGGTAGAATCTTACGAGGTGTCCCACAGTAGCTGCTTACTCATGGTAAGCTAGGAAATTGGAGAAATTTCCTCTTGACTCTCATGAGAACGAGAGAAGAATGTGAAAAGGCATAGTTTTCCTATTCAAATTGTGGAATAAGCCAAACACACATATTTCCACTGGGGTTAGAGAGAAATCAACTTTTGTTTCTGAAATTTAACTTACAACTTTTTTCTTCTCCCTCTCCAGCGCCATTTCCTTCCTTTCTTGTTCACGAATTTTCTTGCGTTGCTCCATATATTCCAGGTGCTTGACTTCTCTTTCAAAGTAATGGTTTATACTTGATGCCTGTTAGAAACACAGGCCTTCAAGCGAGGAGCCCCCATGGACACCCCGCTCCCACTGTGTTTTTTACAAGGCCCTGGAAGAGTCCTGCTGCCTATAACTCACCAGGCATATTCCCTACTTTGGGACACTGCCCACAGGCCCACTTCCAGAGAAGCTAGCTCCATTTGGGGGCTACTGTGCTAAGTTGTAGGACCCTGCGAATTACAGTATTCCAGGAAGGGAGTGAGGTTGGAAGGAGAGAGCAGCAAAAATTGTTTACAATTTTGTAGAAGGAAAATTCGAGGATTGCTTTTTTCCTTCTTCCTTCCTTCTCACTTCTAACACCGAGGGAAGTTTCATATCATCAACAGAACCTAGAAAACCCAGATGAGGGTATCAATGCAGATCCTAAAGGGCCTGGGAGCAGAGTTCCTGGGCCCTGGAGGGTTTGACATAAGAATAGAAACAGGAAAATAGACCAGGTGACCAGGGGAGGAAAAGCTTTTTGCCTGACATTAATGAGGCCGATGTTGTTGGGACTTGCAACAGATTGCAGTCTGTATATCTAACGTTCGGTGTATGTATACTTACATATTTCTACTTATTGATCTTTTCACAACCTCCTTATTAACATTGCCTGCAGCCCTTGGGTGGTGGGGACGGAGGCGGGGGGCAGGGGGCGGGCAGAATATTGCCACTTCAGACACGCTGCTTGCAGGACACCAGCTTGGAGGAGGGGACGGGGTGGTGGGCAGTGGGAAGAGGCATGCAAATGTCACATGTTCCCTCCGGGACGGGCGTCCCTGAAAGAAGGGTCCCGTGCTTCGGTCACAACCCCAAACAACAGCTTCTGATTATGCATCCTCAAAGTGATTCGCCCCTGAACCTGGGTTCTATTGACTTTGGCCTCCCTCTCATTCCATTTTTGTTTATTTTTCTAGCTTCAAACTCTTTAACTCATGAAGCAGAACTGCATCCCCTTGTTTTTGACTGCTCTCTTACAGCGTGAAAATGCTGTCATTTCTGAACACACTTTTAAGACATGCCACCGATACTCCGTCACATAAATCCTCAAAGCCCAAAGTTACTGACCTCATTGGTGGAAGGGTGACTCAACGTCCAAGGGATCTCTAATATATGCAGTGTCCCATAGTAATCGCCTACGGCTATGAATTGCTGCTTCGCTGAAAGATTAAAAATAAACAGGGGGGAAAACAAGTCAGCCAACAGAAAGCTGTCTTAGCATTTACACATGAACCATGGCTTGTTCTGTGGTGTCCCAGAGGACCTGCGGGAGTTACAGGGACCTTGGCATCTGCATCAGACCTTCGTGACTGGGGGCCATATTAACATGTATGTCCTGCTTTCCAGTTGATGGGATGAAAGCTGAGACCCTGAGCCTTGGTCAGCCACCCTGCCCACCGCGGATCTCCTTTTCTTGGCCTCTGAAAAGCAGCGGTTCTCAACCTGTGGGTCGCGACCCCTTTGGGGATCGAACGACCCTTTCACAGGGGTCGCCTAAGACCATCGGAAAACACATATATAATTACATATTGTGTTTGTGATTAATCACTATGCTTTAATTATGTTCAGTTTGTAACAATGAAAATACATCCTGCAGCCGAAACCGGTTTGGCTCAGTGGATAGAGTGTCGGCTTGCGGACTGAAAGGTCCCAGGTTCGATTCCGGTCAAGGGCATGTACCTGGGTTGCGGGCACATCCCCAGTAGGAGATGTGCAGGAGGCAGCTGATCGATGTTCCTCTCTCATCGATGTTTCTAACTCTCTATCTCTCTCCCTTCCTCTCTGTAGAAAATCAATAAAATATATTAAAAAAAAAAAAAAAAAGAAAATACATCCTGCATATCAGATATTTACATGACGATTCATAACAGTAGCAAAATGACAGTTATGAAGTAGGAACGAAAATAATTTTATGGTTGGGGGTCACCACAACATGAGGGACTGTATTAAAGGGTCGCGGCATTAGGAAGGTTGAGAACCACTGGTGTAAAGGGTGTGGCTCCTTGCCGAGGTTGACTCTCTCTGTGGCGGGGCCACTGGGCAGATGTGGGAAGGAAGCAGGGAAAACACATGGAAAGATTTCCAGGGGAAAATCCTGAGGGCAGTATCCGCAAAGACACAGTAAGGACTGAAGGATACCAGCGTGCAGGTGAATTTAAAAGGCACAGCCAGAACCAGGAGCCAGAATGCACACCAGATTGTTTCCTGTGAGCATTTAAAATGGATGTGAAACACAAATGTGTGTGAGCATTTTAACTTTCCATCTCATCATGGGTTGTTGTTTTTTTCTTCTCATTTTCAGAAAACGGTTCACATTGCCAAATCCTCTACTTATAATCCCTGCAGGTATGTTATGTGTTAGAGCAAAGATAGGAAAACACACTTTGGTGACATATTCCTAAGCAGTAGCCAGGCTGTGTGACACCCTAGAAATTCTGAAGGATTGCCGAAACCGGTTTGGCTCAGTGGATAGAGCGTCGGCCTGCAGACTGAAAGGTCCCAGGTTCGATTCCGGACAAGGGCATGTGCCTGGGTTGCGGGCACATCCCCAGTAGGATATGTGCAGGAGGCAGCTAATCGATGTTTCTCTCTCATCGATGTTTCTGACTCTCTATCTCTCTCCCTTCCTCTCTGTAAAAAAAAAAAAAAATCAATAAAATATATTAAAAAAAAATTCTGAAGGATGAATTTCTCAAGGTATGTTTCTGAGAGAGAAAGGGATAGAAAGACCATTCTATGCCTTCAACAACTTTGGAAACAAAGGAAAACTCCTTTTCAAAGAGGCAAATATATTGGATTTATATAGAAAGTAGCACTGGGTTGCAACAGAGAAATCAGGACAAAGGAAATAAATTATTAGAAGATGAGAAGGATGCTTTGTGTTGTGTGGTTCAAAATCGCCCTCTGCTTGGCACACTAAATGTGTCTCAGAAATAACTGTTGATGGAGAAATCAAGTGAGAGAAGCTCAGGTGGTATCCAAGATAGTGCCAGAGAGAAGGGGCACGATGGAAAGGAAAGGGGGACGGAGGGAGAAGGAAGGGAAGGGAGGGAAGGAAACAAAAACCTGAGACAGGACACTGGAGGCCTCCCGGATGATGCCAATGTTTTCCTGAGTTACACAAAATAAACAAAATGACAGCGTGTTTGCTCAGAAAGAACATACCAGTAAAGGCCCAGGGTTTGATGCAGGTGATCATCGTTATACAGATGTTCTGTGACTGGGCTGGTTCATGGGTTTTCTCCAGAAGGTCCCAGATGTCAATGTACCCATCTTCTCGGCCAATATAGAAGACGCCGGGCCTCGTCAGGGACCAGTGCCCTGAGGTGTACCTTTTTGGAGCACAGCATGACTGGAGGAGGGGTCCGAACTTGAAGCCAATTTTTAAAAAGACACATTGAAAGCTTGTGTTACTATCGAAGGGATATTCACAATGATTTTAAGTGCAAGTCAGATAGCTATGATCATATAACAGCCAAATCATGCCTATTCGGAAGTTTTATTTCTTTCACTTGTAGGATTTTTATGTAATGCCAGTTCTTTTCTTCTCTGCATGTTTTTAAAACACCTTTTTCTTCTTATTTTATTTGCTTTTTAGAAAAGAGCAAACTTTCCTATCAAGCCGTTGTTGGTTTTAATAAATCCAACGGCTATGGAAGTCCATTGCTATTTCTCTGGAGATTGATCAGATAAGTAAAGATTATGAAATTGGCTTATACCTCCTTCCCACGGGAACAACTCTGGTAGCCAAAAAAAGCAAATAAAAAGTCAGTTCTAGCTGTGAGCTGCATGCAATGACTTATAACTACTATTGGGAAGAGATTTTAGACCAGCAAAGCATCCTAAGCTTGTCTTGTCTTTTCTCCACCATGGGGCAATTTGCCTTCTTTGGGAGGTTTTCATAGAGACAGAGATCAGGATGTGCGTTCTTCCCACTGGCATGCTCAGCCTGGCCACCAGGTAGATCACTTATCTATTTACACCTGCAGACGAACTGCCTCACGCCTCCAACACATGCATAGGAGCCTTTCCTGTGGGGATGGGAGGATGTCTCAGAGGCGTGGACTCCTTAGAGGTGCCACTCCAGACCTGTCCTCGGCCCAGATCCTTCCGTTTCTGTGGATAACCAGGTTCCTGCCCCTGCATAGTCTGTGGATAATCTTGCCTATAAAACTAACACTTGTTCATTGTAAAAAAAAAAAAGAGAACATATAGAGTACATTGGTATAAAGTAGAGTTCTTCTGTGGATAGGTACTTAAGTAGTTTCCAATCTTTTCAATGAAAAACTTGGACATATATTCATGCAATTTTTTTTTGAGATTTGTGTTACAGTCCTAGAAGTGAAAGTGTTGGGTTAAGGAAAAAATATGTATAAAATTTTATATGTATGTATATATATTACACATATTATTTATTCACAGAATATATACATTACAGCTGTGAAATAGATATATTGCATATTTTAATAATCTTAAATTGCTCACCAAATGGACATATCATAATGATTTCTCCACACACTTATTTCACTGGTCTTTCTCAATCTTTCTAGTTCTTTTTTTTTTTAAATATATTTTATTGATTTTTTACAGAGAGGAAGGGAGAGAGATAGAGAGTTAGAAACATCGATGAGAGAGAAACATCGATCAGCTGCCTCCTGCACATCTCCCACTGGGGATATGCCCACAACCCAGGTACACGCCCTTGACCGGAATCGAACCTGGGACCCTTCAGTCTGCAGGCCGATGCTCTATCCACTGAGCCAAACCGGTTTCGGCTCTTTCTAGTTCCTGGCAGTTTAGCTTCCATCAGTCTGAATTCAGGCCCTCTCCTAATCCTCTCCTAATCCTGACCACTAGATTTTCTTGTCTCTGTGTCACTTTGACCTTACACACTTCTGGTCTTCCTGGTGACAGACACTTTAGCTTTTTTACTCCCACTTTCTGAAACTGCTGACATATTTCTGGTGCAGAAGAAAAGATTACAGACTTGGAGACAAAACAACAACAACAAACAAAACAAAACAAAAAAAACCACACAAAAAAACCAACAACAATAAAGCCAAGAGCTGGTTCTTTGAAAGGATAAACAAGATTGATGAACCTCTAGCCAGGCTCACCAAGAAGCAGAGAGAGAACCCAAATAAACAAAATCAGAAATGAAAGAAGTGAAATAACAACAGAACAACAGACCCCATAGAAATACAAAGGATTATAAAAAAATACTACCAACACCTCTATTCCAACAAACTGGTCAACCTAGAAGAAATGCACATATTCCTAGAAAAATGTGACCTTCCAAAACTCAATTAGGAAGAATTAAAAAAAATCTAAATAGGCCAATAACAATGGAGGAAATTGAAGCCGTCATCAAAAAACTTCCAGCAAACAAAAGTCCTGGGTCAGAAGGCTTCACAGGAAAGTTTTACCAAAAATTCAAAGAAGAACTAAAATCTATCCTCCTCAGACTATTCCAAAAAATTGAAGAGGAAGGCACACTTCCTAGCTCTTTCTATGAAGCCAGCATTACCCTAATCCCAAAACCAGATAAAGACACTACAAGGAAAGAATTACAGGCTAATATCCCTGATGAACATAGATGCTAAAATCTTCAACAAAATCTTAGCAAATCAGATCCAGCATTACATTAGGAAGATCATACTATACCATGACCAAGTAGGATTTATTCCGGGGATGCAAGGATGATACAAAATCTGCAAATCAATAAACGTGATATATCACATAAACAAATGGGCAGATAAAAATCACATAATCATATCAATTGATGCAGAAAAAATACTTGACAAAATCCAACACTCTTTCTTGATAAAAACTCTCAGCAAAGTGGAAATAGAGGGATCATACCTCAACATAATAAAAGCCTTATATGACAAACTACAGCTAACATTATACTCAATGGGCAAAACCTAAAACCATTTTCCCTAAGAATAGGAACAAGACAGGGATGCCCATTCTCACCACTCCTGTTCGATATGGTACTGGAAGTGCTAGCCATAGTGATCAGACAAGAAGAAATAAAAGGCAGCCAAATTGGAAATGAAGTAAAACTCTCATTATTCTCAGATGACATGATATTGTACATAGAAAATCCTAAAGACTCCATCAAAGAACTACTAGATTTAATAAATGAATTCGGCAATGTAGCAGGATACAAAATTTACACCCAGAAATCTATGGCTTTTTTATACACCAATAATGAACTCACAAAAAGAAAAATAAATCCCATTTACCATTGCAACAACAACAACAACAACAAAAATTAAGATACCTAGGAATAAATTTAAATAAGGTGGTAAAAGACCTGTACTTGGAAAACTACAGGACATTAAAAAAAGAGATAGAGGAAGACATAAACAAATGGAAGACTATAGCGTGTTCATGGATTGGCAGTATCAACATCATTAAATGTCCATACTACCCAAAGCTATCTACACATTCAATGCAATTCCCATTAAAATGGCATATTTCACAGACCTAGAACAAAATCTCCAAAAATTCATATGGGATAAACAAAAGACCCCGAATAGCTGCAGCAATCCTGAGAAAAAAGAACAAAGTAGGAGGGATCTCAGTACCAGATATCAAGCTATATTACAAAGCCAATGTTCTCAAAACTGCCTGGTACTGGCACAAGAACAGACATATAGATCAATGGAATAGAACAGAGAACCCAAAAATCGACCCAAGCCATTATGCTCAATTAATATTTGACAAAGGAGGCAAAAGCATACAGTCTCTTCAATAAATAGTGTTGAGAAAATTGGACAGATACATGCAAAAAAAAAAAAAAGAAATGAAACTAGACCACCAACTTACACCATACACAAAAATAAACTCAAAATGGAGAAGAGGACTGAAATGTAAGTTGGGAAACCATAAAAATCTTAGATGAATCCATAGGCAGAAAAATATCAGACATATGACAAGGCAATATCTTTACTGATACAGCTCCTAGGGCAATGGAAACTGAGGAGAAAATAAACAAATGGGACTACATCAAAATAAAAAGCTTCTGCATAGCAGAAGAAACCATCAACAAAACAACAAGAAAGCCCACTGCATGGGAGAACATATTTGCCAATGTTATCTCTGTTAAGGGCCTAATCTCCAAAATTTATTGGGAACTCATACATCTTAACAAAAGGAAGATAAACAATCCAATCAAAATTGGGCAAAGGACTTAAATAGACACTTTTTGAAAGTGGACATACAAAAGGCCAAAAAAACATGAAAACATGCTCAAAGTCACTAATCACCCAAGAGATGCAAATCAAAATGACAATGAGATACCATCTCACACCTGTCAGAGTGGCTATCATCAACAAATCAACAAACGACAAGTGCTGGCAAGGATGTGGAGAAAAAGGAACCCTCGTGCACTGCTGGTGGGAATGCAGACTGGTGCCGCCACTGTGAAAAACAGTATGTAGTTTCCTCAAAAAATTAAAAATGGAACTCCCATTTGACCCAGTAATCCCACTTCTAGGAATATATCCCAAGAAATCAGAAACACCAATCAGAAAGGACATATGAACCTCTATGTTCATAGCAGCACAATATACAATAGCTAAGATTTGGAAACAGCCTAAGTGCTCAACAGTAGATGAGTGGATTAAAAAACTGTGGTACATCTACACAATGGAATACTACGATACTGTGAAAAAGAAAAAAACTCTTACCATTTGCAAGAGCATGGATGGACATGGAGAGCATTATGCTAAGTGAAAGACGCCAGTTGGAGAAAGACAAATATCCCATCATCTCACTCATTTGTGGGATATAATTAATAACTCAATGTGATGAACAAAAATAGATCTAGAGATAGAGAAGCATTGAATAGTCAAACTTCAGAGGGAAGGCAGGTGGGGTGGGGCCTAAGAGATCAACCAAAGGACTTGTATGCATGCATATAAGCATAACCAATGGACACAGACACTAGGGGGGGTGAGGGCATGTGCTGGGGGGTGGAGATGGCTAGGGAGAGGTCAAGGGGAAAAAAGGAGACATATATAATACTATATATACTATTTTAAACAATAAAAAATTAAAAAAATTAAATATCTTTAAAAATAATAACTTTTACTGATTTATTAGAGAAAGAGGAAGGGAGAGAGAGAGAAACATTGATTGGCTGCCTCCTACACACACCCTACCAGGGATCGAGCCTGCAACTTGGGCATGTGCCCTGATAGGGAATTGAACTGGCAACCCCTGGTGCACAGGATGACACCCAACCAACTGAGCACCACTGACCAGGGTTAATTACTATATTTTAAGGGAAAGAAAAATGCAAATCAAGTCAGCTGGTATATATATATATAAAATAAAAGCATAATATGCTAATTAGACTGGATGTCCTTCCAGACGAAGCCAAGGTTGGGAGGGAAGCCTGGGTCCCGGGTGCCAGAGGGAAGTTGGTGCTGGCAGCCGGGGGAAGGAAGGCCTACTCTTGCATGAATTTCGTGCATCGGGCCTCTAGTGCAGTGATGGTGAATCTATGACACGCGTGTCAGAGGTGACACGCGAACTCATTTTGGGTGACACGCATCGACAGAGACAAAAAATTGCATAATTCAAATATTTGTCTCTCACAACAGCCAGAGTTGGGCATCACTCGAGTAATATTATTACTCACGATACTCATGATCAGTAATGCAATTCTAAAACCGGATGTAAACATGTACATCGGTGTTGCGTAGCAAAGATACATAGTGAAAACATCCAAGATACATTGTTCCAATATTGACATTAATATAAAAAGGTTAAGAAAGAGATTAATCTTTACTCATGACATTTTATTTTTACTCAAGTGACAAAATGCCCAATTCTGGAAACGGCCTCGTTATTGTCAACATGTGCCTCGGTAAGCTTCCCGTGCGTTCGGGTGCATTCGGCAAACGGATGCACTTGATCGCCATGTTCGTTAGGAGACAGGAGTGGTAGGGTTAGAAGAAAAAGATATACAGTGCAACAGTGCTCGACGAGACATTCTGCATGTCGGATAATTGATTACAGCACCATATATTTGTTACACATACTATCTTTGAATTGTTTTGCACCAGGAGTCAGTGCAACAACACTGCAAAAAGTTAATAGGTAAGAAACCTATCAACCTTTTATTAAAATCGCCGCGATTTATATTTATTTATCTTTGCAGCCTTGTGATGGAGAATCAAAAAAATAAAAAAGCAAGATTGAATGATAAAGGAAGTGGAAGTAGCAGTAGCCGGCCCTTTCAAGACATATGGACCGAGATGTACGGGATTGTCGACAGTAACAACAGATCATTGTGCATACTGTGTAATGAAACGGTAGTAAGCAGAACATGGAATGTAAAGAGACATTTTGAAACTAATCATTGTCAGCTCTTAAAAAAAAGTATCGATGAAAGGAAGGAATACATTTCTAGGCAGCTACATCTCTATAAAAGTCAATCAAATTCCATCATTAAATTTGTAAGATGCTCTACAAATTTAACATCAGCAAGTTACTGTATTGCTCACTCCATAGCACAGCATGGAAAAGCCCTCAGTGATGGAGAATTTATTAAGGAAACATTTCTTTTTTTTTTTTTTTTTAATATTTTTTTATTTTTCGCTTAAAGTATTACAAAGGGTATTACATAAGTGTCCTTTTTTTTCCCCCCCGCCCTTGACACACCCCTACCCTCCCTTACCCCTCAGTGTCTTATGTCCATTAGTTATGCTTATATGCATGCATACAAGTCCTTCGGTTGATCTCTTACTCCCCTCCCTCCTGCCCCCCAACTCTCTCTGGCCTTCCCACTGCAGTTTGGCAATCAGTTTGAGGCAGCTCTGCCTCTGTATCTATTATTGTTCAAAAGTTTGTAATGGTCTTTATTATCCATGAATGAGTGAGATCATGTGGTATTTTTCCTTCATTGACTGGCTTGTTTCACTTAGCATAATGCTCTCCAGTTCCATAAGGAAACATTTCTAAGATGTGCACCAGCTTTATTTCACGATATGAAAAATAAAGATGATATTATTAAAAGAATTTCTGAGTTACCACTCAGTAGAAATACTATTAAAGACAGAATAATAGATCTTAACAAAAATGTACAACAACAAAAAAAGACAAATAGTTGTAAATATTTTTTGATTTCTCTTGATGAAACTACTGATGTCACATCAAATGCTAGATATTCTGATGGTCTCACAATGAGAGAAGAGTTGATAAAGTTAGAATCAGTGCCAATAAGTACATCAGGAAACGAAATATGTAAGGTTGTTATAAAAACATTCAGTGACCTAAACATTGATATCTCTAAAATTGTGTCAGTCACAACAGATGGGGCACCAAATATGGTGGGAAAAAATGTGGGATTCCTGAAATTGTTTCTGGAAGCTATTAGACATCCACTTGTACCTTTTCATTGCATTATCCATCAGGAGGTGTGTGCCAAATCGGGATTCTCAGAATTGAATGATTTAATGTCAGTTGTAACAAAAATTGTGAATTTTATAGCTTCTCAACCCCTTCACAAGCGAGAATTTTCTGCACTTTTACAGGAAGTTGATTCAACCTACAGTGGACTCCTGATGTTCAATAATGTGAGATGGCTGAGTTGAGGTAAAGTACTTGAGTGATTTGTGGAGTGCTTTGAAGAAATTATGGTATTTATTGAGAATAAGGATCTGGCAAACTTTCCTCAGATCAATGATCACAAGTGGGTCAGCAATTTGATGTTTTTTACAGGTCTCTCTATTCATATGAATGAACTGAACTTAAAATTACAAGGTTTTGGCAAAAGTATTGATGTTATGTTTGGGTACATCAAATCTTTTGAAAGTAAACTTAAAATTTTCAAGCAAGATATTGAAACTAAAACTTTTAAGTATTTTCCTCGGATAAAAATGTATTTTGAGAAGGCCACTACAACGAGTGTAGTGGAGTCCATACTTATGTACCAGAATATAATAAACTTGTTATTTGAACAGTTCAGTGAAAGATTCAACCAATTTAGAAGCCTAGAACAGACCATTAAAATAATTAAGTATCCGGATGTAGTTGTTTACAGTACTTTGGAATTAAAGGATTTCCAATGGATGCAAATTGACGATTTAGAGATGCAACTTGCAGATTTTCAAGGTAGCATTTGGACTCATGTGTTTGTCGACTTAAGGTCGAAACTTGAAAATCTGGAACGAAATCGTTTGAATAATGAAGAAGAGTGCAACTACGAACAAGAAATTTTGAGTGGTTGGAACAGAGTACCTGACACTTTTAGGACATAAATAATCTAGCAATGGCTTTGCTAACAATTTTTTCATCAACATATTTTTGTGAGACTTTGTTCTCAGCTTTAAATAATATTAAAACGAACAAAAGAAACAGACTAACAGATGAAGTTAGTGGCGCTTGCTTGGCCTTGAAGTACACCAAGTACGAACCTGCAATCGAAGAATTAGCAGACAAACTTCAGCACCAAAAAAGTCACTAATTTCTAGTTTTCATACCATTTAATTATCATTGTTTTTATTATTTTTTCCTAAATGTACATTGTTTTTCTGTTTTTGTTCAATTTATACATATTTTTTGGTTGATTTTTCTTTGTTAAATGGCATTTAAATATATAAAATAAATATCAAAAATATAAATATTTTTTTTACTATGGTTGCAAATATCAAAAAAAAAAAATTATGAATATTTCTATATGTGACACGGCACCAGAGTTAAGTTAGGGTTTTTCCAAATTTTGACACGCAGAGCTCAAAAGGTTCACCATCACTGCTCTAGTGTATATATAAAAGAAAAGAATGTTAGCTTTCAGAGAACAAGTGACTTGTAAATGTTTCCTTCCCTCAGGAAAGAAAAGCAAATGGTTGGGTTTTCAAAGGGCTTATAGCAGTTCTGCCTCCAAGCTGGAGCCAGGCCATCTGTTTCAATTTTTCTAAAAAGTTCCCCAAAGGCACTGTTATGTCAGAACAGTCTGTTGTTCCTATTGTTTTTCTCAATCACAAAGGATCACACACCCATTTCTCCATGTTGCAAGCAACTTACCAGGAGACCTTCCTTCCAGATGGCCAGGTTCCATCCCCCAACGGTGAGGATGATGTCACTGTAAAAGGGGGACCTCTGGATAGTGTGGATGGCACCATCATGGACGGTGTTGAGGCTCAGGGGCTTCTTTGCTGTTGGGGTGGGAAAGGCCATTCCATCTTTAATAACACTGTACATATTTCTGCAATAAAGAATGAAGTGACTTCTACTGGACAGACAGGTCTTGATTAATGAGATCCAAGAGTAAAGAACCAGAGGTCAGTTGGGGTGAATGAATCAAGGAATAGCTCCTCCTCTTTTTATAAAACGTCCATGGAATTTCCCATCAAGGCCACTTTTCAGAGGAATGCTTCATGTTCTTACTCATTTATTCACTCATTAATTCATTCAATTTGTCAACCAATATTTGTGCATTGCCTATATGTACCAGGTACTATATTTTACTTTTATTTTTTAAATAAAATAAACATTTTTATTGATTTCAGAGAGGAAGGGAGAGGGGGAGAGACGAGGAGAGAGAGAGAGAGAGAGAGAGAGAGAGAGAGAGAGAGAGATCAATGATGAGAATGAATGGCAGCCAATCTCCTCCACACCCCCTACTGGGGATGGAGCCTGCAACCCGGGCGTGTGTCCTGACCCAGAATTGAACTGTGACCTCCTGGTTCATAGGTCGTTGCTCAACCACTTAGCCACACCAGCCGGGCTCTTTTTAAATTTGTAGAGGGCAGTAAGATTGAGTCTGGTAATCCCAGTGTGAGACATACAAAACCAACGGGGACCAGGAGTTTACAGACCATGCAGGGCCTTGCAGGAAAGGTGTTCAGGTTCTATTCCCCGTGTAACATGTTTTAATGAGTGCTTCAGGCCTAGAAGGCAATCTGAGTGAAATTTCCAGAAGATTGTCTGCTGTGGGGAGAGAGATTGGCAGCAGGTAAAAGCAAAGAGGGAACACCAGAGGGGGTTAGGTGGTAGTTCTAGTGAGAGTGAATGCTGACTTAGATGAAGGTCCAATGGGGAAGAGTGGATAATGAAGACATATTTGCAAGCTGAACTTGACAGGGCTTGGCGATGGCTTGGGTAGGAGGGGTGAGAGAGATGACGTGCTGAGAATAACAGCCAGGTTTCTGGTAAAGCGCTGGCTCCGTGGAGTTTCTATTTACGGAAACTGGGAAGACCAGTGGAGGAGCAGGTTTGGACTTAAAGATCAAGACTTCCCTGTGGTCTCTGCCCAGGCCCTGGGCTTTCTGCCACTCCGGTGTGTTCACTGTGCCAATGCTTGGGTTCCCTTTCCCCCAGGCCTGTCCTCAGAGCTGGATGTATCCCACTTCCTGCTGCCCACACCCACAAGCCCCAGGGAGGGCCATGGCAAGTCTCGTCAATAAATGAATCCAGCCCCTGTTCTCCTGCCAGTGATCTTCTCATTATACAGTGACTCTAGGGCAGCCGTGGGCAAACTACGGCCCGCGGGCCAGATCCGGCCCGTTTGAAATGAATAAAACTAAAAAAAAAGAGACCGTACCCTTTTATGTAATGATGTCTACTTTGAATTTATATTAGTTCACACAAACACTCCATCCATGCTTTTGTTCTGGCCCTCCGGTCCAGTTTAAGAACCCATTGTGGCCCTCGAGTCAAAAAGTTTGCCCACCCCTGCTCTAGGGTAAAGCCCAAAGCTCTTAGGAGGGCACTCATGTCTCTTGGCCTAACTGTCCCTCCTGCGCCTCTTCTGCTGCGGTTGCCCTTTCTATTGCTTTGGTTTGGCCTTGAGATGTCCCTGTTTCCTCATTGTCCCCTGGTCTTTCTCCGCCTTCTCCATTTGGAAAACTGCATTGCACCCTCCAGGACCCTGCTCACCTGTGTCTCTCTTCAGTGGGGCCTTTTCTTAAGAGCCCAAGAGAAACAGTCATTTGTTTATGTGTTTAACCTTTCCAACAGATCATGGGACTCCTCGAGGGGAGGATCGTATCTTGTTCATCTTTATATCACCAGTGCCTGGCACTTTCATTTGATGAATAAATGAGTAAGAAAGAAAGAACAAACAAACATCAGGGAGGTTCAAACAGAAAGCTCTTGGTTTTTAAACTTATTGTCATTGATTATTCTATAAATGGAATAAAGTTCATAAAAAATTTAACTAAACCAGCTCTGGGCGATGTGGCTCAGTGGGTTGGGCATCATCCCAGGCATCAGAAGGTTGCCGGTTGATTCTGGGTCAGGGCACATGCCTGGGTTTCGGGCTCCATCCCCGGTAGGGGGTGTTCAAGAGGCAGCTGATCGATGTTTTTTCTCTCCCTTCCTCCCTCTCTCTTAGAAAAACAATATATTTAAAAAACAACGAAACCTGCTTGTCATGGGCCTCCTCAGAAGCAGTTTAGGAAGCAGGAGGTGAGGCCTCCAGAAAATCCCTGAGATCAGGAGGAACCAGTGTCCACCGGTGTGTTACCAAGTCATGGCATCAAGCTTGTGTCCCAGGGTGTGGTGGAGATGCTGCCATGTTACACGGTGCCTGGCATGCAGTATGTGCACAGTGAACACTGACAAATTATTGAATAAATAGAAACATGAATAAACATAAAAGTAGCTGATTGTAATTCATCGTATCCAATATATCATTTTTAATTCAACTTCAAATCACAGAATCGGGAATAAATTCATTCGGTGGACCCTCCCTTGGGTCACAAATCCTCTCTCAATGCCCCACTCCTATCAATAACACACATTTGGGTTTCTAGTCAGGGGACGCTATATTAGAAAAGCAGGAATGCTTTTGTTTCCAGATTAAAATAGCTACCTGGAGGCAATGCTGACAAAGCAGGCCTTCCCAGGTCTGAGGCAGCCGCTGGTCTGGGAACCCAACTCAATTGATAGAAGTGAAAGGAGTGAAGATCGAGCCCCAGCTGCTGTTCCCTGCGGGCTGTGGCTCTGACCTCCAACCCTGTCAGTCACTCATGTGGCCATTTGTCCAAACACTCACGGGCTGGCCAGCTTCCCTTGGGCAAACCTAGCCCGGCTGCTCCACCTCACTGCTGTGCGGTGTTCCAGCAGTCCCAGGAGCTGCCTCTTTCCCAGGAGCTGCCTCTTCCTGTGCTTACCGTTGTTCCATGGGTTGAACTGTGGTTCAAATATATTCTTATGCCTTGAAGATCCCAAAGCTTTAAAGTAAAGTAGTTGTCATTGTAGGCAACCCCAAGGCTCTGAGCTTTGACAGGGAGCTTTGCTTGTTGAGGAGCCTGAATCTTGACTGATTCCTGCTCACACCGGAGTGTGACCCTCATACCTCTCTCTGCTCAGCTGCCCCAAATCCCCGACCCCAAAGGAGGGTCCTGCAGGTACTTCTCCCATATGTTCCCGAGGGCTTCAAAAGCATCATAAATTTAGCTTATAACCTCACACTGACTCAGATTTCTTACCTAGATGAACTACCAGGTTGTTGAATGATTGAAACAGTGTGATTATTTTTAAAAATTGTGCTCTCAAGTGTTGGTGTGAAAACAAATCACCTGGTGAATTTTATTAAAATCCACAGATTCAGGGGCAGGATCCAGGGTTCTGTGTTTCCAACACGCTCTCAGTTGAGGCCCTGCCTGGTCTGAGGCCCTCACTCTGAGTAACACGTGTAGAGTCAGACCCTCAGGGGCCCTCCCTCCCATTAGCAAAGCCGGGGTTATCAGTACTTTGTTCAAAAAGGCACAGCCTATTAATGATGGAACACTCATCCAAACTTACTCATCAATCGGCCAGTTTCAGGGTCTCTTTCCATTTTCCAATCTGAGTATAACACTTCACCTTCCTAAAAATATCACAGATTCCTGGTGAGTACAATGGCCACTTAAGGGACAAACCCCTCTCTTATTCATGTGCTAAGACTGATTGTAACAAACACAGAGCAACCGGTGAATTTAATCAAGGGAAAATTTGGTACAACGGTGGGAAAAGGCTCAAAATGATTACTTGAGTTTATCTCAAACAACAACAACAAAAAATGAGTTTGATGAGTTTTTATCTACACACAGTGACGTGGAGAATCATCTATTATGGAGATCATCTATGTACACAAGCCTCAACTGCTGGGTTTCCAAAGCGTTTGTTTTCAACAGGAAATTGTCCCGATGGACTGGAAGCTCCGGGGAGAGAGGGGTCTTGTCCAACTTAGTGATTTATTCTCAGCATGTTGCACAGCAGTACTGAGCAAACATTTGCGGGATAAGAGTGAAAGAGGAAAAAAGAATTCATAACATGGTACTCATTACCATTTAAAGTTGGGAACCGGAACCTAAGTTCCACCCAAATGACATAATAAGTAATATATACTCCAGTTCCACCTATGACCATTTTCCGGGGAGGGAAGGCGTAGAGAAGAGGCAGAAACGGCCGCACAGATGGGAAGGACAGAACCAGCGAGTGGCAGAGGTGGGAGCAGTTTAGAGGAAAAAATTCAGTCCCTCCAAATTTCGTCTTATAGATGCGATAACCGAGACTCGGAGAAATTTAATGACTTACTCAAATGCAGTTTCCTAATTTCAATCCTCCCCCCACACAGGGATAATAAGAGAAAAACACAGAGAAGCTTGTATAAAAATAGAAGTTGAGAGGATTCGGAGGAGAAGATGGAATGGGATGCGTAGGCGAGGGAGGGGAGATGGGAAAACACTTGATTTATGCAAAGTGAAGGATATTTGACTGGGGCCAGGGCCCACTCATTTACTCATCTGCCCTTTACTCATCCATGTTAATTCATTTAACAGAGGCCTGTGTTTGGTGCTGGAAATGCAGAGTCAGAGGACAGGTGCTCCCTCCATTCACGGTCACAGTCTAAGGGCACAGACAGACTGTACATGTCTGGCCCACGGCCTGTGGCACGCCCCCTCATAGTTACCATTCACTGAGCACCCAGTGATTGCCAGAAATGCTAGGAGCTTTATGTATGTGATGGCAGCCCTCACCAAATCCCGTAAGAGAGTTACTGATATCTCCTGGGTCTCATAGCTGCTACATGCAGCACTGAAATTAAACCAAGTCAAAGCAGAATAGTTTGAATCAGGTCAATACTTTTGTGTCGAGTGCCCATTACATCAGCAGCCACAGAGTTGGAAACCCTCACATCTTTCTCCATCCCATTACCTCGTTCTGATCATTCCATTCCTTCAACCTCCGTGTTGATACTCTTGGCACCTCGGTCAAGCCCTCTTTGTCTCTGGATTGGCCCCTCCTGAAGTTCCCCCCAGTCTGATCTCTCTGCCTCCAGGGCACCACTCCTTCCTGCTTCAGCCCTGCACCAGCCAGCCCAGGCCCCAGAGCAGGATTAGCCCCGCCAAGGGTTGGAGAAGGTCATTCTACTGGAATGTCAGCGGCCTCATGAGGGCAGGGGATTTTGTCTATTTTATTCACTGCTCTCTCTCCTGGGCCAAGAACAGTGCCGGGCATATAGTAAATGCTCAATAATATCTGTTGAATGATGATGGAAGTTAATTCCAAACCAAGGGCTAGGTAGGCAGGAGTCTAGTGTACAAGAAGAATGAACGAAAAGCCTGAGTGAGGGAGATTGGTGCAGACGGGGATGGAGAGACAGGAAGGAGGCAAATCATACAGAATCTTAGAGGCTACAGGGTGAGGTGTTCAGATTTTATTCACGTTTCACGGAGTCATCACTGAAGAGTTTAAGCAAATGGTGTTATGTTTTAATCTCTCTTTTTAAAAATTTCAGTTACTGATTTGAGAGAGAGAGAGAGAGAGAGAGAGAGAGAGAGAGAGAGAGAGAAAGAGAGAATTTGTTATTCCACTTATTTATGTCCTGACTGGGGATCAAACCTGCAACTTTGGCATATCGGAATGATGCTCTAACCCAATGAGCTTACCAGGCCAGGGCTGCTTTAATTTCTGTTTTAAGATCTTGCATTATTTATCTTTCTAAAGCTGTCATTGCCCGGCTTTAACATTTTGGTGTTCACAGGGACAAAAATTATATGATTCCGTTTATGCAAGGTAGCTAGAATAGTCAAATTCATAAGCCCGAAAGTACAATGGTGGTTGCCATGGGAGTGGGCATGAGGAAATGATGAGCTATGGCTTGAATGGGTACAGCATTTCCGTTTGAGATGATGAGAAACTTCTTGAGATGAATGGTGCTGATGTTGCTAGTGGTATAAATGTACCTACTACCACTGAGGTGTATGTTTAAAAATGGCTAAGATGGTAAAGTTTGTTATATATTTTTTCAGAATTAAAAATATTTTTCTAAAAAATTTGGTGGAAACCCAGGTTACAAAACATATATCTATTCAGTAGTGCTCCGTTGCTTACCAACTTAAATTCAAATTCCCTACCTTGGCAGAAAAGGCCCTTTGGTTGGACCCCAACCTAGCATTCTAGGCATAGCTTTCCTTCTTGCACCAAACCATTCCACTATCCCCAGACAGACCCTAGACTCTCATAACTCCAAAATACTGTCCAGGCTGTTCCTTCTGGTCCTTGTATCTCACCCTGATCTTTCAGGTGCCTCTGAAACCTCCACTGTCCAGCCAGCTCACAGACCACCTCTCCCAACCTCCTCCTTCCTGGCCCTTTAGCCTCTGAACGGGGGTAGGCGTGCTGTCAATGTGCCTGCTCCTTAACTAGGCACCGAGCACCCTGAGGACAGGGACTGTCCTATGGATTCATTTCTGATCCAGGGCCTAGCACAGTGCCTGGCAGGCAGTCCATTCTCCCGATCTGGAGGAACTGACTAATCCCTCATCCTACTAAAGTGCAAACACAAATTGCATTCAGTGAGACTGAGTGATGGCATCTTCCCACAGTGGTATGGCCTGGGAGAAAAACACTTTATTTCAGGAGAATAGAGTCATGAATGAATAGACATCTCTGCTTCTGTGTGATTGTGAGATGAAGTTCTGAGCTTCATTTCTTCATCTGTAAAATGGGAATAATAGTATCACCCTTATAAGATTATTAAGATTAAATGAGATATAATTTGGAAAATAACTGGCCCAGACCCTGCTCTATAGAAAATGTCCAAAAAATGTGAGCCTGCTTTATTTACTATAGTAGATACTAAAAATGGCAGCCATTATCATTATATCCAGGTGTTATTGATCATTTGAATTGAGTGAGTTGTTTTTTTTTTACTATCTTTCCTAGTAGATGATGCTGACCTAACAAAACAATATATTTTCTTAGTAAATCTTTAACACTTAGCATGGTTTCTTCCATATGGCATATAGGTGTTTGATAAAATTTGCAGGTTAATCAATACATTACTGGTGAAAAGGGTCATGTTTAATTTTATAGATTTTTTCCATGTTTGTTCAGGAACACTTTAAATATGAATCTATGAGGTAAACAATGAAGGTTAACAATTTTAAGTGCAAATAAGCATTTTAAAATATAAAAGGTATAAATATTGTAAGCTTTCATACAGCAAACACAAACAATAGGGGTTATCACATATTTCAATGTCATTAGAAATATTCATTTTAAAAACAGATAATTCCAACTCACCTCTGTTCCCACAAAGAACTTTGTGCAGAAGTCCTCTATCGGCCGGAGGAGATTGGCCAACCCACTTTCCAGGTTGTGGTACGGGTTCATTTCTTCAGTATTTACGACTATGTTCTGAACTAACACTTTCTCTTTCAAAGGAGTATGGAGAGAAGAAGCACATATTTATAGTGAATGATCTTTAAAAATATAGGTAGTTTATATATATATATATTTTAATATATTTTATTGATTTTTTACAGAGAGGAAGGGAGAGAGATAGAGAGTTAGAAACATCGATGAGAGAGAAACATCAATCAGCTGCCTCCCACACATTCCCTACTGGGGATGTGCCCACAACCCAGGCACATGCCCTTGCCGGAATCGAACCCAGGACCTTTCAGTCCACAGGCTGACGCTCTATCCACTGAGCCAAACCGGTTTCGGCAGTAGTTTATATTTTCTGTCTATTGTCTTACACATCTGCCCCCTAACCTCCAGGGTGGGATGAGTGGAAATCCCAGCAGTTTTAGACCTCTAGTTTGGCAGTGGGATGCTTTTTTCCTTTTTTCAAAACAAAGCTTATGTAAGACCCCTGTATGCAAAACCGGTGGAAGCTGCATTGCTCTTTGACGTATTACCCGGGTGGTAATGGGGAGACCCACCTGCCTACTTTGGCAGGGGCTCTGAAAGGGTTCATGGCACATTTGAAAACCATTTCGCCTAGCCAGTTTGGCTCAGTGGATAGAGCGTCGGCCTGCAGACTGAAGGGTCCCGGGTTTGATTCTGGTAAAGGGCACATTCCCAGGTTGCGGGCTCGATTCCCAGTTGGGGGTGTGCAGGAGGCAGCCGATCAATGATTTGTTCTCATCATTGATGTTTCTATCTCTCCCTTCCTCTCTGAAATAAAAATAAAAAAATAAATATATATAAACCACTTCTATGTATTTCCACCATTGCAAAATTATTTATAGTAAAAATTGGACACAACATATCCCCTCGGTTATATCACCCTTGATGTGCTCGATAAGCTTTTCTAATGAGAAACTCCTGTCATTTCTATTCAGTTGGCATCAAACGGAAGTTTTTCAAGCAATTCAAGATTAGTTTTTCAAGTGTGGAAATTCTTTTAACTTCTAAAAAATAAATCCATCTAGAATGTATTACTTGTTTGTCATAAGCACAGCATATATGACAGTGTTTGTTTTCTGATTAGCCTGGATTTATTATTTATGAATATCAATGACTGCACTGTATTATGGCTACAACTATACATGCAAACAGTAACAGCAGAGCTAATCTGGGGGCTGAAATTCAAATGTCATCTGAAACTTCTTTCTTTTTAAAAGTATCTGATGTCATTTTCTTTTAAAACAAATACATTTTTATGATCTAAAATTAATAAATGTTACTTAGTGAAGCTTTGGAAAACAGAGAAAAGCATGAGGAAAATTACAAAACGTATCCATTTTCATACCTACCAGAAATAACCACTATTAAAATACTCATGTATTTTTTTCTAGTTTCTTTTGTGTGTGTGTGTGTGTGTGTGTGTGTGTGTGTGTATGTATATATATATATTTATATTTAAATTGGGTATGTTAAGTGTTGTATCCTACTTGTCTATTCTCTTAAAGATATATCTTGGACACTTTTCCAGGTCACTTATTAGTTTTTAAGAAATGTGATGTTAAATTTGAGGAAAAGGTGGCAGAGAAAATGTGCTCACAAAACCCTCCTCACCACATCTCCTCAATATAACTCCTGGGTTATATCACCCATGGGAAAACAAAAAACGAACATAAAAACCAACCAACAAACACATAAATGAAAACTAAAATAGGAGAAGAAAACACCAGCTATACTAAAAATATATATTGCATTTCAAAAAATCTTTAGCATAATTCTGAACAAAAGTAAAAAATAATTATCATGACTTAGGTAACCAACACTTCCATTGTTTGGGATCTACGTGTTTTGAGGGGCCCCTTTTTCCATTAGCTAAGACATCAAAAACAAGTATCCAAGTTAAGCCAACCATGGATCCAGATCTTTAAATAGCTGTGTTACAAAGTGTCAGTCAACATTCAGAAATAGCTAGGCACATTCAAACGCATTGTTCTTACCTAAAGGTACTCATAATATATTTAGCAAGAGCAAACTGGCATTGTGTATCCATTTAGTATAGAAAATTAAAGTCATTAAAATATTTATTTCAAGTTCTTCACTCTTATTTCAACGTCTGTTTTTCTCTTTTTAAATAATATACATAAGTACATTAGTAGGATCTCACTTATATGTGGAATCTAAAAAACAATATAAAGGAACAAACAAAACAGAAACGGACTCATAGACACAGGTAACAGACTGATGGTTGCCAGAGGGGAAGCGGGTTGAGGGTACTGGGTGAACAACATAAAGGGATTGAGAAGTACAGACTGGTAGTTGCAAAATAGTCATGGGGATGTGAAGTATAGCATAGAGAATATAATCAATATTATTGGAATAATGATGGTGCCACTTGGGTTCAGGAAATGTCACAGAGAACACTTTGTAAAGTATGATTGTCTAGCCACTATGTTATGCTGTACACCTGAAACCAATACAAAATAATATTGAATGCAAACTGTAATTGAAAAAAAAAATTATATAAAGAATGTAAGCCGTGCTTAAAGTAAAACAGGCTGTAACGGGGTTAGAGACCAAACCTAATAAAGCTGGCATACAAATTGGGGGGAAAAGTCTCTGTTCGTAGAGTAGAGCACCTATATAATTTGTAAATAAACACATGTTCATTGGGAGTATGCGCTCAAAACAGTTTCCTGAGGGGGTTGAAGATGGAAAATTTGGAGCCTTCTGATCTCACAAGGGAACACAAGAGACTGATTCAGGGGGCACTACTAGTAATGCAAGGGAAGAGGCATGTGTGAGATGCATTGCGAAGGACAACTTAATTATCCTGAGTGAGAGAATGGACATGGGGGGCCTGAGGAAAGAGTCTGGGGGGGGGAATGCAAATTCTGTTCTGGGCAGACTGACTTTGAGGGAAAGGTTGGGTTCAAACCCAGGAGAAGGAGAGAAAGGAGGGGGAGGCTTCTTGGCAGAGGTAAGAGTGTAGACCACATCCCCAAAGGAGAGTGCGATGAGAAAGCACACAACTGACGTTAGATTTCGAGGTATGTTCAATGATGGGGCAGCGGGGTAAAAGGAAGCAGGAAAGAAGAGAGAGGAGAGACACTGAGGAAATATCAGAAAAGCCAAGGAAAGGGGCTTCGTCGGTCGTGTTTAATGTGGTAGAGCCAAAGAGGAGGTGGTCAAAGAAAAAGGTTATCATCAACTTTGTTTACTCAAACTTGACTGAAATAAATGGCCAGTTTATTAAATTCAACGCCATCCTTATGGGTCATGGATTTTCCATCACCGAGGAGAGTAAAATCAATAGCCGCTAACAATTATCGAAGGCTTACCACATGCCAGGCACGAAACTGTGTGCTCATGAACCATTTCATTCAATCCTCACAACTCAAGGTGGGTAAACATTAATCCTCCTTCAGGAACGAGTCAGAGGAGGCTCAGGGAGGCTAAGTAACTTGGCCAAGATCTCAGACTCAGTGGTTAATGCCTATTGTGGGTTCATGATGTGCTTGCTGTTCTTAGAACTTTACATGTCTAAACCCATTTTACCTTCATAGCACCCTGTGTGGTGCTTACCTTTATCTTTTACTCGCCACCCCCCCCCCATTTCCTCCTCTCTCCTTTCAAACTAGATAAAAAGAAAAGAAAAGGCACAGGGTGGTAGAGTAATTTGATCTGGTGAAAGAATAAATTGTGGCTTTGGGATTTAAATCCAAACCACTGACTCCAGAAGCCACACCCTTAACCATTACACCACATTACTTAGAGGAATATGACACAGGCTCTGAAGGTAATCCCAAAAGAGGAGTTCCGAAACTATCACAGCAAAGGTTTCCTCATTGGAATAAATATCGGACTTCTTAAAACCACTACTGCTTAGAAGGGCACCGCTATGACCTAAAATGGCAGGTAAAGCGTGAGTGGCCCATGGCCACGAGATGGCAACGGAGGACCAGGCACTGCTGCTGAGACAGCGAGGCCTTGAGAAGAGCCGGGACTTGTGATTCCCAGTTGAAGAACCGCTATAGGGTCAGTAAGCAAAACGTGATGATGAAAAAGCATATGACTGTGTTTTAGCCAACAGATCCAAGTCAGGCCAGAGCAGGTGGACAGCTGTCGGTGTGTCTGAAGGAGACCCAAAATACCATAGTTAGAGCTCCAATAAGTCCCGAAAGCGAGTCGACTACACAGGAAGCAGGTCATGGCCATAGTAACTGCCTTTCGAGATGAGAGGCATTCTGTTAGCAGCTCCGTGGCATTACCGGGTGAAATTTAATTCTGCCCAGGACCTGTGGAATTGTCTGTAACGTGGATTTCTAGACACGCATAGGGGGCAAGGCCAGCTAGAGTCTCCGCTGAGAATTTAAAAAATGTCCATTCCCTTCATGAACTGATTTAGCTAAATATACCTTTCTCTAAGAAACCCCCTAAAATGACTTTGTCTGGAAAGAGAAAGTCATTTGATGAGGAATATTCCTATTTGACGACCTTTGGGGCACGCTTCAAGGCTCCTCGTTTTAAACAGGCACGTCCTTAACTGGAGGCAGGTATGTACTTTTCTGTATTTGAGTGTCTCTCCAACCAGAATGCAAACCTGTGAGAGGAGGGACTTGTCTTTTTCACAGCTACCTCCTCAGAGCCCGGCACTTTGCAAAACTTTAATGTTTTACATAAACACAGTTTATATATAGAGAGACATAACAGTGTAGACATTATTCTTTTAAGAAGTAAAGGATCGCAATATTTTTATATAATGCTTCTGATCACATCTGGCATTATGCATCTGTTAAATAAAGTTAGAACTGCCTACACTAAAATGAAATATAATGTGCTTTTAGGGGGAAACAAGGCCTCTGCCATCTGAAATGGTACTGTATTTAGGCAGTCTGCAGAAAGACATAGCCTAGGAGTCTAATACTGGTAAAGAAATGAAGGATCAACAGAAATGACACTCATGTTCTAAAGACATTAAAGTTTAGATGCATTTGTTTTTAAAAAGTCATATCTCATAGTGAAT